AAAAAAAAAAAAAAAAAAAAAAAGATTGTAGCATCTGGTTGAGGTGCTCAAAGACATTAGTGCATAGATTAAAAAAAAAGTCTCGTGTTAAGTTGCAGTATTCAGTCAGTGCTGGTACTTTTTACTGGACCGCTGGTATAGAGGCCAGGGGTAGGACCTGCAGAGCTGACCCCCCTCATCCCTGCCTCTCTGTTCTTTCCGCTAAACGTGATACACATTTGAGGCCCCAAACTTGCTGCTTAAAAGGTTGTGGCAAATTGTTTAGTATACTAAAGCCTTCTCCATAATAAAGTACGTATTCATGCACAATCCTTGAAACCATTCTGCAAACTGAGAAGGAAGTGTTCTTAGAGTAAGGGCTATCATGACCTCATTTCATAGTAAATTTGACTTCCACCTAACGATAGGCAATTACTGGGCTCTTTCGCTTAAAAAAATTCAAAGCCACTCATTTGAAACCTTAAGTGTGTGTTTCAATTACCAGTTTTCCATTCAGATAGTGGCTACTTGGTTCATTCTAGGAAAGAGAACAAAGTCAATTCAAATTCAAGTGATGATTTGTTTAATTGCTCAGAAGTACTAAGTTATCAATGTCTATATGCATTATTGGCCAAGGAAAAAGCCACACTTACCTTCTGCCATAGTTTTGCAGTGTTTCTGATAAAACCAGTTTGCTTCTGGCTTACCTTCACTTCTGGGTTCTGGTCTTTAAGTGACTTGAGAGTCCCACTGCCTATGCATACACACACACACATATGTGTATATACATACCTTTCTGCTTAAAAAACAAGCATATAATTGTTTATACTTAAAGGAAATTAATATTTAAACATATTTCTCTCATTTCATCACTTTACCAAGGCAGAAAAACTTGCCTTTAAGGTATAATTGTTACAGATTTTCAATCAAATATTCTTAGTCATTATTGAAAAGAACTCAAATCCAGTTAAATTCTGATTCTCAGTAACACTGGCTTGCTTTTCAAAAGAAATGGCAAAATAAAATGATCATTTTTTTGTTCACATAGTACACTAAGGATGGTTTGGACACAAGTCAAAGTAATATATATATATTTTTAATACACGGCGTGATGTTACAGACTGCGGAGTTCAAGAAGAGCAACATTGACAGTTTCTGAGGAGCACAGGCAGAAGTGCAGTCACAGGCCAAACTTCTCGCTGGGAAAAGCAAGATGGGGATGAGGTCTTAAATTTAGTGATACTGTATTATTCTATATGCTCAATATAATAACACATGCATCTTGCTGTGTCAGATACTTTTTGGGCCATCATTAGAAGAACATTAAAAACATTTTTCTTCTAACTAATGCAGTATACCACAGGACTTAATTCATTGAATGACAAAACATAGAGAAAGAGAATTGTTACTATTATAGAATTGCTACTATTTATAGGGCCAAAAAAGGGTAGTTCGAGCTCCTTGTTGCAGTGTCCAAAGTAAACATTTGATGTGCTAGTAAGCAGTCTTCTCTGGTAGTGTCAACATTCCCCAAGACACTAAAATGTTATGGTATGCCCCAACCAGATATGCTTCTTAGATTTTATTCAATTCAATTAAGTCTGAGGATTGAACCACACTGAAACGATTAACTTCATTCGAAACTTGGGTTCTGTAGCCAAAAACATTTCTAGAAATCATATGAAGACCAAGTCCTCCAACCACTCTCAGAAACATAAATCTAGTTAAGGGACGTGTTCTTATGAAATCATAGATACTGACCACATTTGGAAATTCATACTAGAATTAAGCTTAGTCATTATATTTTAATATGAAACAAAGATTTTATGCTTCTTGCTAATCTAGAAAAATTAACAAAAATAAGAATACCTAAAAATATACATGGTTCTTAGCAAACTAAATTATCATAGTGACAAATTATATAAGGTTGTAGTCACAGACTTAAATTGGTTTGCAAAAATGCATTTAAAAACCTTTTCTGTACTTACCTACATGAGAAATGGAGTATACTGTTGGTAGTGAAAATCATTTACCTAACTACACTGTATGTACAGAGGAATAATTTTTACTATTATTCTCCACTAAAATTTGTATATGTAGTTGTGTAAGAATTAAGCCAGAAATGTCCTTATGGCTCATACCTGTCACTTTATGCTAACTAGCAGGGATAGAATATTAACCTACCTAAAATCAAGCCAAAGAAATGCACAGCACTAATAAAAAGGAAGTGCAAACCTTAGTCAAGTACAATACATGAAGGAAATGTTTATTCAAAGACTAACATCCCAACTTGGGAGACTCCTAATAAATTTTAAACTCTTCTAAATTTTAGAACCTTGATATTTGTTTATACCTTTTATAAAAGATGCCTCTTGACCACAGCTAGCAAGCAGTGTGTATACAAATAGAAACGTGTGCAAGTATACACACACCAAATGCACTAATAATAAAGAAAACAAAATGAATTCCAAATGCCAATTTAAGAATCGAGTACCATGAGCCTCCCCACACTCTAGCATTTTCCAAATGGCTAGAGCAGTGATTAAATTTTAGCCAAAACATTTTTTTTTTATTTAGTGTCTTCTATACCATTAAAAACAAGGCATGCTAACTCTGACTTTATAAATCTAAAATACATTGATCTGAAAAAATTTCTGCAATACATGTATCGGAGCCTGGAGTATTGAACTGTGATTATCTATATTCCCCTCTATTAACCTCCTGAGGCAGAGTTATCAATCCAATTTTATCAGGACCATAGTTATCTTGAGCTAAACCCCATAATCTTTTCAGAGTGAAAATACATTTCTTATAAAGAAAAGAAAACAGGCTTCCCAGGCCATGGGATATAAGATATATTTACAATTTTTAATGTAATAATTAAAAATGGTTTTCTGCTTGTATTTAAAAAAACAAAAACCAGCTCAGCTGTATTATTATGTGACCAGGAATGATTCTGAGGATGCTGTCAGTGCTGAATTTTACAGTTCAGCCTTCACAATCCTATCCTTGATGAAGGAAGAGTTAATTCTTTTCTAGTATACATAATACACTCTCACAACTTTCAGCCTTCTCTTGGACATGCCCTGTCTGAGCTGGATGGACATAAAGAATGTAATTCATTCAAACACCTCCTCCCTGTTCTGCCCCTCCCTTCACATTCTCCTCTTCTCAAAAACATCTGAAGTATGAAAGTTGTCTTTAAATAGCAGAAGCACCAGTCTGTTAACACCACATATTATCTTTAAACCAAAATATTTTAGTGATGTCTTCAACATCAAAATAATTTTTTACGGTGGACTGAGGGTGTGGGTCCAGCCCAGGTCTGCAAGTCTGGCGCAGAAAGAAACAAGAGGAACTTAATATATTCAGAAACAGTTACCAGGCTAGCTTTAAAATACTGGTGGAAATTAAATTTCTTCAAGGAGTTGACAAGCATGGGCTATTGATCAAAATATGAATTAAACAGATTTACAAAATCATTAAGAAAAGAGACAAATTCAAGTTTATGTGCTGTGAAGTTTCCATGGTGCCTTTAAAATAGGCTGCTCATAATTTTTTTTATAAAATGCCAAATCACTCAGTTTTTGATGGAAAAAAGAATACAGATGGACTGTGTTTTACCTATGTGAAAGTTACCATTCCATTTAAAATAAAATCCAAGAGGGTATATACAATCTAATCAAGTCATCATTTCCTGATTAATAAGAACTACACTTTACACAAAATACTTTTTCAGCAGCTGTTTTCATCAAAAAAACCAATAGTTTTCACAGTTGAAAAAGTTACACATTAAAATATTTTACAATTCATTATATATTCACCAGGTTCCCATTTCCTAATGGGCTTTTAATATAAAGCAGAATAGAAGGGAAAACCTCAAAGTTGATTACCTTGATACTACGTTTTACATAGGACACTAAGAACCACGAAAAACTTAGGTTCTATCATAAAATAGCAACCAAATTCCATTCTTCTTTTAAAAATCCAATTAGAAACATCTTAAAAAAAACAAATTCCACAATAAGATTAACAGATTTCAAATTAACAACAATCTAAAAATCTTCAAAATAAATGTTTTTGATAGCTGAGTATATGGCAAAAGGTTAAAACATGATTTTCACAGTTATTTCTTGCTACCATGTGTTTCAAATCAAGTTTTATTTTCCTTTAGACATTTTTCTTTTCTCCAAAATAATTACTGAAGGAAATATTTCTCAAGTGACCCAAGAAGTGTTGAGCCAATAGGCACACTGCCTTCACTGACAATGATGGTTGGTTACAGAAACTGTCCAATCCACATGCTGAAATAAGCAGAAGTGGCCGTGTTATCGCATATTTGAAATAGGTCCTAGTCATCTACATAGCGTTTAACTCAATTTTTGGCTATTTGAGTTTCTGAACATTATCTGTCCCTCATTTCTTTCTTAGATCACTAAGATCTAATATAGATCAATCTTACTTTATATTCTTTATAGGATTTGTCTACACTTTTTCAAATAGAATTTGGCTGTAGTAATTCTTGAAAATAAATGTAAATCATAAAATATGCTATGTTTTAATGGTGGAGAGGTCTTGGGAGAAGGGGGGACAACTATCTGGACTGATGTAAAAAAAAATGCAAACATCGTAAAAATATTGAGCAAGGAGGCTCAAGGCTTTCTGGCACTCGGGTAAAACACAGTTCTCTGTTAAATCTTCAGTTTCCACCATCAAAGTTTCAGATTTGTACCATTTCACTGAGTTTTCTTATTATTAATCCCTGATATAGAAAAGACTGGGATGTTAAGTATACTATCAACTGTATATATTTAAATGACAAAGTATTGTGAAGTTTTAGTAAGTTATGAAATCTTCTCTATCTCCCCCCCCAAAAAACAAAAAACAATCCCCCCCCAAAACCTATCTGGTTTCCTGCTTAAGACAGAGTTAAAATTCTGCTTAACTATTTCAAGACAGTTTACAGAAATAAATTCATTAATCTTCAAATTTATTTTTCTTGTTGGCAATATTATATACATGCTTTAATGAAGTACCTAAATCTTTGATAATTATTCCCTTTAAGGGTTCTAAAATTGCCAGATATTAAGAGTATTTGTATTAGAGTCCCTTGTTCACTATTCAAGACTTCTACTATAGATAACAGATTTCATAAATGAGTATTTTTAACGTGATGCTGTTTTACTAGCGTATACAATGTTCACTCTTTATATAAAAAGTTTTCCAATAATATGCCTAATCTAGAAAACTGTCAGTAAACTATTGCACTTTTTTTGGTGTGGCACCTGGACATTTGCTAAAGCTAATTTCCTAGGACATTAACCATTCATCTCAAACACTGAGTAAAATATCAGAATCTGGAGTGATGACTAGCACTAGCCTTACATCTGGGTAAAGGCTTTTCAGAATGTTGAAGAATGTGTCCTGTGCTTGGATGGCATTAGTAACGATGGAGAGCCCTGACTACTTGGATGTGGGATATAATTTTAAAATGGTTTGATGTCCTATTTTTATTTTTGAGATATGGATAAGTAGCTTAAAAAGGTAAAAAGTTCATGGTTTCTATTCCCCCATATTATTAAGTATCATCCATGAGCATACCTCAGTAGAGAGGTTTAAACAACCAGGAAGACAGTCTAACTTGTGTTAATTTTGGTAACTAATTTCATATGACTGAGCCGTTCTCATCTATACATGAGGATGAAAGATGGGGGATTCATATGAAACAAAGAAATAATAGGAAAGAGGATGAAGTTTAAACTGTTTTCTTTAAGTACTTATACACTAGTTATTGGTATAAATGGGATAGTGCCTGAGCCTCATCTATAGACAAAGAGAAAAGGTGACTCATGCTGCTACAAATAATAAAAAATTTGGGGTGCAAAACAATGCATGTCTATGGGACAGACCATGTAAATAAAGAATATATATTAATGATAGTTTCTATAATATAAATAGCCTTTAATAAAAAAAATAATCTTTTTAATAACATTAATACTTCTATTTTCTGGAAAACATGCATGAAAAATGTATTCAGTTCAATTGCAAAAGGAGAAAAAAAATCAACTTAAGGTGAATACTGT